TGAGGTAGGTGGGGCTGTAACAGAACTGCCCTTGAGAGAACAGCTCTGAAAGACCTTGTGACTGACCCAAGGTCACACCAGCAGCTGCATATGGAGAAGTGGGGAATCAAACCTGGTTCTCCCCGATTAGAGTCCACGCACTTAACCACTACACCATTCCTAGGCATTTCGGGCTCCTGTGGTAAGGGGAATTTTCTTCTCAATGTATGTGAATTAAACCAACTAAACAAGGCAAACAAAAATCAGCACAAACTTGCAAACAGGAAATGCCAGCAGACAATTAGGGATGCAAAAAAGGATTTTGAGGAATGAATCGCTAAAAGCATGAAGACCACCAATAAAGAATTCTTGAAATAAATTAGGAGCAGGAAACCAGCTAGGGAAGCTGTTGGACCACTGGATGACAATGGAATTAAAGGAATACTAACAGAGGCGATTGCTGAGAAGCTAAATGAATTTTTCTTATCTGTCTTCTCAGCTGAAGACATAAGGCAAATACCTGTCCCTGAATGGATTTTTTAGGAGGGGAGGATATGGAGTTCAGACAAATAGTGATGACAAGGGAGCAAATTCTAGAACTTATAGACAAACTGCAGACTAACAAATCACCAGGACCAGATTGTGTCCATCCTAGAGTTCTTAAAGAACTCAAATGTGTAATTGCTGATCTTCTAACCAAGCAAGGTATCCAACATGTCCCTAAGATCAGCCTCTGTACCAGAGCACTCGAGAGTGGCTAATGTAACTCCCATTTTTAAAAAAGGAATCTGGGAAATTACAGGCCTGTTAGCTTAATGTGTGTTCCAGGTAAAGTGATTGAAAGCATTATTAAAGGTAAAATATCCAGCATGTAGAAGGATAAGGCCAGCTGAATAAAAACAAACATGGCTTCTGCAAAAGATAAGTCCTATCTCACTAACCTTTTATTATTTCATTATTTATAGTCTTTCTTGCTGAGACTCAAGACTGATATAAAAAAAACCCTATTAGAGTTCTTTGAATGCGTCAATAATGGACAGGAATAAGCTGGTAGACATTGTTTATTTGGATTTCCAGAAGGCGTTTGACAAAGTCTCTCAGCAAAGGTTCCTAAGCAAACTTCAGAGTCATGGGATAAGAGGACTGGAAATTGGCTAAGAGCAGGAAGCAGTGAGTAGGAATAACTGGTCAGTTCTCGCAGTGGATGGATGTGCACAGCAAGGTCCCTCAAGGATTTGTATTGCGACCAGTGCTTTTCAACTGGTTCATAAATGACCTGGACTTAGGGGTGATTAGTGAGGTGGCCAAGTTTGCAGATGACATCAAATTACTTAAGAGCAGTGTTCCCTCTAAGCTGAGTTAGCATGAGCTAGCTCACAGTTTTTTAGCCTCCGGCTCACACATTTTTGCCTTAACTCAGGAAGGATGTCTCCAGAGCAAACGAATTGATGCAGTAGCCAAATTGCTCGCTCACAACTTTAATGCCAGCAGCTCACAAAGTGGAATTTTTGCTCACAAGACTCCACACCTTAGAGGGAACATTGCTTAAGAGTTGTTAAAACAAAAACAGATTGTGAAGAGCTCCAAAAGGATTGTTTTAAACTGCAGGGATGGGCATTCAAATGGTAAATGGGATTCAATGGGAGCAAATGTAAAGTGATGCATATTGGACCAAATAATCCCATCTTCACGCATAGACTGATGGAACCTAAGCTGGCAGCAACAGACTAAGACTATGCTGCTATCATACTGCCCTTATACAAATCTATGCTTGGAATGTTGTGTAAAGTTTTGGTCACCACACCTGAAAAAGGATATTACAGAGATGCAGAAAACAGCAACCAAAATAATCAGGGGCCAAGAGCAGCTGCAGCAGGATTGGTTAAAATGCTTAGGGCTATTTAGCCAAGAAAAAAGGCAAGTTGGGTGAGACAGAGGTTTTTAAAGTATGCATGTCATGGAGAGAGTGGTTGAGAGAAACTTTTCTAACACTAGAACCCAGGGACATCCATTGAAGCTGAAGGATGGGAAATTCAGGACAGAAAAAAGGAGGTATTTCTTCATGTAGCATATACATTAATTTGTGAAACTCACTGCCACAGGATGTGATCATGGCCACCAACTTGGAAGGCTTTAAAAGGGGAGTGGACAAATTCATGGAGGAGTGGGCTATCAATGGCTGCTAATCATGATGGATAGCCAGATAGCCAGAAAATTTTGTGGGGCATGGGAAAATTTTGTGGGGCAGCAGGGGAGGGGGAGGAGGGAGGGAGAGAGGAACCCTTTAAAAGCTGTTTTTCTAGTGGGGACTGGCCACGCCTGATCTCCAAGCCGTGAAATGCTGCTTGGAGTTCTGCTGCTTGGAGTTCAGGGAAGGCATGTGGCTGGCAGCCACCCCTCTCCCTCACCTCCTGCAAGATTTAAAGAAGGGCCCTTTAAATCTTGGAGGAGGGAGGGAGAAGGGTGGCTGCAAGATTTAAAGAGGGCCCTCCAGCTGATTGGTGGGCCAGGTGCTCCTGCCCATCAGCTGGAGTGCCCCTTTAATGTCACAGGAGAAGAGGGAGGGGGAGCAGCTGTTGTGGGGTGTGCCTCACATTCGAGGGGCAGGCCCCCGAAATGCCCCACAGGCCTGATATCTATTTCCTCCAGTACCAGAGGTAATATGCCTCTTTAAATCAGCTGCTGGGGAGCATAGGCAAGATGCAGTCTTCCTGTTTGTGGGCTTCCTAAAGGTAGCTGGCTGGCCGGCCATGGTGTGAACAGAATGCTGGACTAGATGGCCTCTGGCCTGATCCAGCATGGCTCTTCTTATGTTCAACATTGATTTCATGGTAGAGTAAAAATATTTAGGTGAATAAGATTTTTTTTTGTTCTCTTGCTCAGAATAGTTGACAGGATTTTCTCTTCTCTTCTGCTTCGTTGTGAATGCCAAAACATCTGTAAATATTGAGAAGGTGACTAAGGTTTTGCTGCATGTGTATACGGGATAAAATCTGGAACTGAAGCCCAATTTGCATTTTTCCCAAGGGACTTGGAGGGGGGGTTCGCTATGTAAGTAGCAAGTGTGTGAAAACAACTAACAGCTCTGCTTGAACCATCTGTCATGAAGTTGTGACATATGTTTGCTTTGTTTATTCAGGAGCCAAGCGTAAATTGATACACTGAGTATTTGGCTGAAACTATGGTGTATCTGAATGTGTATCAGGACTGCATGTCTGCGCATACATCTTTAAGCCTCATGAAATTTTCAAGAGATCTGTCACTCACAGAAAATTCTGTAGGTTTTATATACTAAAGTGGAATCTAAATGTTCTGTTCCTCTAAAGAGCAACTTGGTCAGGAACAATTAAGCTGTTATTTTTCTCTACACCTTACTTGACTTAGCTGTCTCTAATCCCCAGTAGCATCACTCTTT